TTTTAACAGTGTGTTACCTACATAGCTGAGCTGAGGCACAAGTTCTGTGGTATGGTCCCTTACTGCTCATTTTGAATGTCATACATTTTTGTGTCATGACCCACAATACAAACCTATGTTTGAATTATTATAACTTTAATGGTATCTCTATATACAGTATTTCTTATTCTGTTCAAATCTAATGAGGCCACCAAGGAACGTACAGCGTGCACGTCCAGAGAGTCCACAGTGAGGTCATAGGGGTGCAGGTTGAGGGACTCGAAGAGCTCCTTCATGGTGACCTCCTTGCCTTTGAGCTTGTGCACGACGCGCTCGGCGTCCACGCGATAAGACTTCTTGATGAAGCGCAGCAGGTGCTTCTGGTTCATGCAGGCGGCAGCGTGGATGTGGGTGTCAACCTGAAATGATACAGAGTGGGTCAGTGAGGGTTTGGGATTATGTGATGTAATGGCTCTGCTTGGTCTCATGGAGGAGCTGAAGACATAGACACATGGTGCACAGCAGCTGTGAGTAGTGCAGAGTCAGTGGGAAATGATACTTAATGAATCTCATCTTTCATGTGCATGTGACTCTATTTAACATACATATGACAAAACTCAATTTTAGAAGATATTAGTATGCAGTGTAATTCAAAGGATTTGTATTTAAATATGTAGACATTTGACTGTTTTTTTATTTTCATTTGAATATGATATTTATTTTCTGTGACATAGAAAACCAAACAGTCATTTGCCTTCATTACTTTATGATCTACTGTACATCACCTCCATTTAAAGTGTGGGTGAAGAATTTGAGCAGGAAGTTTGGGCTTTAGCATTACAATGTTATAAGTTATAATCATGATAAATGTCTACCTTCCTACAGTTGTAGAAGTCCCTGTGGGGGTTCAACTTCAGCTCCTTCATCTCCTCCATCTCATTCAACATCTCATGCACGTTGAACTTGGACATGAGGAACTTGAGGCGGCGGTGAGTGTAAGTCTTCCTGCAAAACAAACAATAGCATATCAACTCACGAGCTGTACATTTACAGCTGTAAGAATAAAACACATTACAGCCACTACTGGAATAAGGTTCATAAGTGTCTTGTTTTTGTGTCTAATTTAGATGTGGACATTTCTAGGGTCCTTGTGTGGCTCCCCGGGACCACACCAAGCTTTGATAGTAAAGCATTTAATGGTCAGTCAAGCATGGGGGTCATCCAAAAAAAGATCGGGGTCATGGGTGAGGTCATACAGGGGGACTTTGAAAAGTGAGAGTACACAACTCAAAGGACTCACGTCGGGCCCTGCGCAATGAGAGCGATGAGGAAGTTCATGTCGTCGATGAAGGTGTTGTAGTCGGGGCATGGCAGGTCTTTGGGCTGGTGTTTGTCTGCAGCGGCGGCGTCATTGTACACGTAGATGACGCCGTCCTTCATACGAGCAACGTAGCCAAGATTCTTTGGCAGGTCCTTTGTATCAAAGGGGTCCTCTCCATTCTTGGGGAGCGGAGTGAAGACTGAAGATGTATGGGAGATATAAACATAATAAATGTAAGATGTAACTAAATTCATTGATGTAAACCCTACAGGTTCATCACCCTTTCTCCTGACCTGGGTGCACCTGTTCATCTGGTTTGAAGGTCTCCCCCTCGATTTCACGCAGGTACTGGGAGGCCGTGCATGGGAAGCGCTGATAGGCCAGCCTCATGTACTTCTCCCTGATGGTCAAGGCGCGGTACAGACCCTTACAGGACAGCTCAAAGTCATCCATGGTCACCTAAAATAAAGAAAAAAGTTACAGATTATATATTAATAATATAATAAAATCGTTATTATTTAAATTAGATGATCCAATCATTAAAGATTTAATGCTGGATTCTTTGAACTGTATAGTCATGAAATCAGCTACATCTATAAAAAAAAAAATTTTAAATATAAAAATATATCAAGGAAAGTGTACAAATTAGATTTTTTTTTTCCTGACACATGTAGTTTTCATGCAAACAAGCAAAATACCACCAAAACAAATACAAAACATAATAAAAACATGCTGCAAACTACAATTGTGTACAGTTTTCTGTTCAACACACAATGTCCCATCAATTTTTTTCTTTTGGGACAGTTATTATTATTATTACTATAACTATTATTATTTTTCCTTTTTTGACATTTAATGGTATAAGCTATACAAGCAGTACTTTCCTCATTGTGATATGTTGTAATATGTTATGTAATGAATGTACACACCAACTGAAGCTAAATAAATGTGGAGTTTTCGATCAGCTAAAGCAGAAATAACTGCCAGCTCTAGCAAAGTGTCTTTGAAAATGTCAAAGCCACAGCCATGAAACCTAAACCCTGGACTGCTCTCAGATGAACGCCATTCATGGGCCTCTGCTACTGTGAGGGGCTTTGCGAGGCCACTGACCCTTACACTCACACACACTCACAAGCACATTTAAATTTAAAGTAAAAACCTCTTGCATTCAGTTCAGTTTGACCCAAGTCTACTACAGGAACTAGGAAGTAGACACTTTTGTGAGCAGTGCTATGATGAAGAGACCAACAAATATTTCACAATTAATAGTGGTGACTGTGGCTCAGGAAGTAGAGCGGGTCATTCACTGATAAGGTTTGTGGTTCGAACCAGCGTTCCCCATTCTGCCTGCCAAAGTGTCTTTAGGAAAGATATTGAGCCACCAAGTCTAGAAAAGTGTTTTATAAATACACACCATTTACCATAGTTATTTTGGACAGTTTAAGCACTGAGTAGTATCAGTCATGTTTGTCACAGACAGAACCAGATGAGCTGATTCCCCTTGTTTTCATTTAATTCAAACCATGGAAAACATATTTTATGAATGCATTTTCCAGTCAAATCAAAATGTCTCATTCAAAGTAAATCAAATCAAATACATTTCATATTGATAACCTCTACAGAAGGCAATAGTTTTTCTAGAAAAGACTAATGATAAAAAAGGACAGCACTTAATATTTGAGTTGTTTTACCCCCTGTGGTTCAGAGAAATTACATTATTGTGTTAGCAGCTCAAGCCAGGTTCAATCATCAGAGATTTCCAGTGGAACTTTCTGAAATAACCAAATAGCACAGTGAATTTCAGCTGTATGGTGAACAGTACCCCAGAGGCATAGTCTCCAATGATGGCCACCCTCTGGAAGTCGGGCACTTCCAGGTAGGTGGGCGTCCCCACTTCCACTGACACTACAGGGGTAGCAGCTGCCTTTGCATTACCTGTGGGCAAGGCAATGGTGCGAGAACGCTGGAGCCTCTTACTGTGGATGAAGAAAGACGAGGTTTAGTTGACCAAAACTAAACAAATAACTTTAAAGGTTGATATTAGCGATGGAGTTACATTTTTACTGTGTCATGGAATAGAATAAAATAGAAAAGAATTCCTTTACAGTCATTGCACATTGAAATTTGCTGTGCAGCTCAAAAACGCTATTTAGAAAAACAGACAAGTAATTAGATTATAAATACATAAATAATCGCCAATTCATAAGATAGTAACATATATATAGAAATAGACAAGTAATGAGATTATTAATATATAACAATATACAAAGAAGTAAATAAATAGACAAGGATTAACATTATTCATTCTGTATATAAAAACAGTTCATGGTGAGAAAGCGTTGCATTGTAAAAGAGTGAAACAGTACAGGAGTTTAAGTCCCCATGTCCAGTCCTTGACTTGTCTTACCGTTTCGCAGCATTATCCTCAGTGTGCAGATGGTGGGCCATCTCATTGTGGATAATGGGACAGTCTTCAGCCACGTCGAACATGGAGATCTCATCGCGGACGTTCTCATCTTTGGTCTCAGACGCAAAGACCTCCTCCGCGAAGGCTCGCATCTTGTCATCGGTCTCTGTCACGCACAGCAGAGACATGTTGTGTCATTGACAGAAATGCACCCTCACTAACCTTCATCGCTCATGGTCATGGAGCAAACAACAAATAACTTTTTGAACGCTGGACATTGACATAGATGATCATGGATTTATGGCATACAAATCATATACGTTACCTAAACAGATGTGCACAGACTCCAGCACATGCGTCGCAAACATGACCAAAGATTGACTCAGGCACTACAAGTCTGCAACTGTGACCTTCAGTTTGGGCTGCAAACACACAAAGTCCCATGCATATACAAGAACTGCAGTTATTGAGCACTGACTCAAACACACACACTTGACTCGAGTCACATGGATACAAGATGGTACAGACTTGCTTAATGTACTATATGTACAGCATAACTCCAGACCCAGTTTTCCTTGTATCTTTTGTTGTGTATTTTCCTTTTCATTATGATTTGCACCCCATCAGTCAGGATGTGAGTGGACGTAATATGAGACGGTTGTGATCAGAATTCATCAATTTGTCAAAAAAAAAAAAACAGACAGGAAAAGTGGGTCAAGTTCCAAAAATAGATGGAGTTGTGAACTAAGCTAAAAACAACAGTACAACAGACGTCTACAAAAATACACACATGTACGCATGTGGCTACTACCTGATACCTACAACAAGTAACTAATCTCTACAACATACTTATTACATGCATTTACTTGCCAGGAGCCAAGCCTTTCTACTCTAACACAACAATGTGGCACATATCACATGACTAGAGTGGTTTTGGTTTCCACGTCTCATCATTCATACTTACTCTGTGGACCTGATTATGCCCAGCAAGAGTGAAGCATCACCCAGAATAAAACCCAAAGAAAGGAAGGGGTTAAAACATGTTCCATTAAAGGTGTTAAACATGAAGATGACAATCCCATTACTTTAATCAACTGTATAAACATCACTAAATAATCCATGTAATTGAAGTAAAATTACATAAGGAGCCATACTATAACATTATTTAGCAGTATTTACAATATATAACATAGATTAGAAATACATGCAATAGTAGATGTTGAGGATATAAGCGATGGAATGACACTTGACAAAACAGATGGGTGGGAATGTCAGTGTGAATGGATCAGTAGGATTAAGGTGACATACAGTGTGAGGATGGGTAATGAGTGCAATCACTGTTTGAATAAAGTTGGACAAAACCGCTGGAGGTCTCGGTAGCTGCACCTTCACGACACATGCAGCTGCGAATTTCTGGCCTCAGTCATACTCAGGTGATGTGACTCCACCGCTGCACCTCTACCATTTTTAACATCTCCAAGCACGTGAAGATGCATTCAATACGTCTCTCTGGCATTCAGGGATAAACCATCTGTGCCCATCAAACACATCTGCAGGCCAGTTCAAGTATGTTTTGTCTGCTGCTCTGCAAACCAACACTCCCATAGTGAAATGTCAGCAAGCTACTCTGCAAAAGACATTTATTAATGTAAATGTTCCCTTCCAGCTCCGTTTTTATTGCTGATGCTGTGTTTGAGAAGCATCCATAACTGATGTTGAGAGGGAACATTAGATTAATAAATGGTGTTCACTTCCTATTTCATTATTTTTTCATATGGCATAGACGTACCAACATCCAGTACCAACATCCAATGTTGCATTCAAATACACCTTGGAAAAAATAACATTTAAGGATGTGACTGTTGCACATCCTGACGGTGAACCATGCGATTGTAATGCTTTACATTGTCTCTCAAGCTCCTTATGGAAGGTGTCCCAGCTTCATACTCACCTCCCTCTGTCAGATTAGCCCCAGTCAGTGTGGGACGGTGATTAAAGGGAAACAAAACAAGGAGGCAAGTGAGCCACAGAAATATTCTTTGCTTACGACTGCGACTACTCCTTCAGAGGAAAATCCTCCATTTGAAAATCCTCCAGAGTAAGTTGTGTGCGTGTGCAATGTTCAGGATATATAATCAGTGTATAATATAACTGTTGATAAATGAAATCAACTTTCTGCAGAGTAATGCATTCATTTATGTTTTGGGAGGATTTGGCTAAACCGACCCTTCAATATTAAACTTAGTAAAATAGCTTATAATCTCGCTGATTGTAAAAATTCACTTGCATGGACTTGGACTTGCAAGTCAGAACTGGTGTGAAATAACCAAAGTCACATCAGAATATCACCACACAAGTGTAAACATATTCTGCCCCGATACCTGCCAAATCTAAGAGCTGTGAAAGTCAAGCTCTTCAAACGGCAGCTGCAGCATTGCATTTCCATTTCTTCACCCTTTAAAAAAACTCTTGCTCCATGCCTGGTGGAGGTATTATTAGCAACCATTACACCAGCATTTGGAATAGCATTGGTGAGCTGAGCTGAGAAGGAATGTAAAAATCATCCACGAACAAATTGACCATGTCATTGCTGGAGCTGTGAGAATCTGCAGACAAATCATCTCCATCAAAATGATTCTGCCCCTGTTTTTTTCATACTGAAGCTGATATTCATCTGCAGAATTCCATGACAGGAGTTTGAATCCTAACAGCCGAGCTCAGGAACCCAGATATTGACATGTTGGAATCTGCAGATTGTTAGGAAGTCAAACCACTCTGGAATTTGGTGTAAGAACAAATTGCACAAGTGAATCTAAAAGTAAAGAGTAGAAAATGGCACATTTTGTGACAATGCCACTTTGAGATGTTAAGGTCAGTGTCAGAATGGCACTGGCAAACTGAGGGGAATTTATTTTCTGCACAGAAAGGGGCATGACCCCCACAATGTACAATTAAAGGATTTGTGCAAAGTCTCAGGAACTCTCTTTTCCAATATTTAGCAAACAGACGTGAGGGTGGCATTTTGACAGAAGGGTCAAGTTTTTCTTTCCCAGCTTTTCATTTGTCGGTCAAGACATTTCAGCAGAACCAAAACTCTATTGGTGTGTCAGTAAATGTTAACCAAACCCTCTCTCTCTCTCTTTATACAGGTGAGAGTGCACGTTCACGCCCCAGAGTCATTCTGCCCATACTCACCTGGCACTAAGACTTTAGGCATGGTGACGCTCTTCCAGAGAAATGCTCCCTGAAGACTGGTAAAAGGTGGTCAGCCACTGGACCACTGTAGCAGGGAAGTGTGGAGGCTTGTGCTTGGTCTGTGCAATATCAAGCTTCGTGTGCCTCGTGTGTAACCAGAACCTGCTGCGTCCACACAGGACACGCCTTGGCGTAACAACCAAGTCATGTGTGTGTGCAACTCTATTTTAAGTTGTCTAAGTGTGCCCAGGAATCACTGACTGGCACAGTGTGTATACAAAGAGATGAGTATGTGAGTATGTGAGTGTGTGTGTGTGTGTGTGTGTGTGTGTGTGTGTGTGTGTGTGAGGGGACTCATTATATAACACCATAAGTTGCTCTGCACATGGTCGGCAGATACTCAGATGGTTGCTCTGAGTACATTCACAACACACATTTCTACAATGCAAATGCAAAAGATTAAAATGGATTTATTCCCCTGCTTAATGTTAGCTTGCTAATAAAGTGCATGTAGAAAGTGTTCACTTTACATGACTTATGTGGCAGCCTCATGCTAAAATTACATTGAATTAAGTTCCCCCCCCCCCCACACACACACAATCAGGCTTCAGTGAAAACAGACTTTTAGACCTTTTTTTAAAATTTATTAAAAAGGACAGAGTGAAACATAACTTTAACACAGAAATTCAGACCTGTTACTCTGTACTAAGCAGCTCTGGCAGCAGTGAGTCAACACTCCACAGCCTGATACTGTCATCTTCATGCCTCACCATTGGGGTGGTGACGACCAGTGGCTGGTTTCCTCCAGAATAGATTCTTAGAACTTAGGTCAGTCTTGATTTCAACAGACCAGAGAATCTGGGAGTCATTTGTTACATTCATGTGTTTCACTGGGGAGAGGTCATCACTCGGCCGTACGGTGCTGACTCAGATCATTGGAGTGCTGCAGTGATGGTCGTCCTTCCGGACGTTTCTCTTATCCCCACACAGGATCTCTGGAGCTCAGACCCACTGATCTGACACTGATTAGTACAAGTTTCAAGTTTCATTACACCCATTCATTGATGTGATGCTAATTAATGCCACATCTCATAGCCCTTCATCACCACCAAGGTCCCTCCCCTTATCTTCAAGCCTGATTTGGTTTGGCTTTGTCATGACGGGGTATTGAGTAAGTAGAAGACTGATGAGGGAAATTCATTGTTAACAATTCTGGCATAGGGCTGGAACTTGGAAAAATGTAAAAAAAAAAAGGAAAGGGGTCCGTGTATTTGATGAATGCACTGCATTTGTGTTTTACACAAAACACATTAGGTAATTTAAAAAGTTTAGCTGATGATGACACTACAGAAACATTTAATCACATCCAGACATCTCAAGATAAAAACGTCTGAGTCATTAAGATGTGACAGGAAAAAGGCCAGAGGGTCTCCACAGTCATCAAGATTCATCACCTGCGGACCATAACAATCTGTATCCAATTTCACAAGAATACATCCAATTTCTGTTGAGCTCTTTTGATCCGAACCAAAGTAGTGTGCAGACCGATTAATGACGTCCTCACAGCAAAGATTCCCTAAATTATAAGTTCACATTTTCCTCCTATGGATGTTGCTGCTTTAGAGCAACTTTGCTGCAAAATGGAATGGCATGGGTTTGTTTTCAATCAGAATTCCCTCACTACTTCACTTACAAACAACTGGCATGTACATTTTTCTCTCTCTGAAATTTGGCAGCAAAACCAGATTTTTCTCTCTGTACCTGCTCTGTGCAGATTGTAAACAAAAGAGTAAAACTATCCTATTTTGTTTGCCTGAAACTTTTTTCCTTTTGCCCAGTTATCAAAAGAGGCATCATGTGTCATTTTTAATTTTGTACTTAGTAAGTACTGAGTAAAGGAGTTGAATCAGTACTTCTACTTTTACCTTTTTTACACAAGTATCTGTACTTTTACTTAAATAAAGAATGTAAGTGCTTTTGCCACCTCTGATAAAAACTCAAAAGGTGTTTAGTTTGTCCAGTTTGGGCTTCTGTAAAAGAAAACATGGTGGCCTCCATAAAGAGGACCAGCTCAAGATGTAAATATTTATTTTCCCCCTGTAAAGCACCTTGGGTACCCTGAAAGGCACTATACAAACCCAAATTATTATTATTATATAAAGTAATCAAATATAAAGGGCCCATTGTAGGGTAGAGAAAACTACAGTTAGTACAATTTAGATGATTAAACACTAGTGAAAACATCAAAGCATTATTTTATATTCTATTAGAACCAAAAGAGCCCTTTCACCAAAAATCTTGCAGACTGGCTCTCTAACTATTGGCATGACTCGATACCACAGGAGAGAAGAAGAAAGATTTGTGTTTTATAATATCAGGTGAAATTATGGCTTTTTTTGTTCATGGATAAAAATTAAAAGTAATTTCCCACGTTTTTCCATTCACTTATATCACACACTTCTGCTCCTCAGTTCATCTCAAGCTGCTGTGTCGCTTGAGGAACATTAACAACAGATCTATTTTTAGGGAATGTGATCCTAAATGTCAGCGTTCCTCTCAGGGTGCAAGTAGTTTAAGAGATCAAGTTGGAAATGGGCAGTCAGTCAGTTCAGCCTAGAGAAAATAAAATCCCAACCCGAAACTTCTGAAAAGATCTCGTGCTAGAGGACATTGCTGAAATGACAAACCCTGTGAATATATTGCATTTACACCGGAGATGGATTTAACCGTCTCATGTTCCAGATTTAACATATCTATTTTAATTGTGAGTGCTTTGCTAGGATCAGTAAAAGTGAAAAGTTCTATGAAGAGTTACTTTTTCATATTGTAGAGAGATCCTCACCATGAACCTGGACATGTGGTTTACATGAACAGAGCAGGAAGTCCAAGTGTCCCCTCTCATATTACCCTCAGAACCATCGCTGTCAGACTGTCAGACAGTACCATGTTACAGCAGGTGCTCCTCCTGTCCTGCCTCCTGTCTGGAAGCTGTTTGGGTAGATTCTGGGACATTTCCTGTGGTTTTTCATTTTTCAGATTCATTTCATATGATGATCTGTAGAACGAGCAACACATGAGTCATGAGAACATGAGAATGAAACAAATCCAACAGAACCTCCTCCACTTCTATACACTCAGTTGGCAATTTATTAAGTGCACTTGGGTACATCTAGTGCAATGTTAATCTAAATATGTCCTGCAGTAAAATAATAATTCTAATATTCTGTATTAAAGTAATTCAATATTGTATAGACTATTAAAATATTCATTTCACATTTAAATGGTTTATGCTCATGGTGGTAATTCAACATTGTGCTGTTTAATTGTATTGCAAGGTGTCTCTTTTATGTTGTCCACCTCTTTTCTGTAACTGACTGTAAGCTGAACAACAGAAACACCTCTCTGTATAATGCAACACAGTTCAAAAGCACCAAAAGACAGTGAGTGAGTTAGTTTTAGTCAGAAGCACCTGATCAACCTTCAACTGTGTGATCTGATCCAACAGCCACACGGAGACTTCAGACAGAAGTGAAGCTCACCGCAGCATAAATGTTTCGTGGAGCAACTCATATCAAGATACTTCAGCAAATTCTGAAGGAAAACCAAACCTAACATGCTGAAAAAAAAGTTTCTTATTAAATTTGCGTAATTTTATCTAAATCTGAAATATGGACAGCTGCATTACAAATCTAACAGTCCTGACTTAAGTGAATGGATGTTCTGAGTATTCCACAGACTGAGGTATTTGCCTGATAGCGGAGGATTTGGTTGCACAAGTTCAGCGTGTTTACATGTTCTACTTGGATCGTTATCAGGCTTCCTGTCTGAACGATAAAAGAGGAACACCCAGATCTATAAACAGCATTAACGTATAATCCTCAGCGGAGACTACACACAGATAGGACCTGTTTGTTCCCAGGAACTAGTTCTGAATTAGATTATATAGAAGCATCAGTGTGTTGCAACATGTTACTGTTGTAGCTGCTGGAGCAGTAGTTTACAAAATTGTACAATTTCATTGAAATCTAAACAAGCTCTATTTTTGCCATGTGTAAACGATGGGTGGGATCATACACTGTCCTCCAATAGTAAATACCATCAGGAATTTCAATTGGTCTTAATTGCTCCACAGTTCCTCCCAGAGCGTCCAGCCCCTGAACAGACGGGTCCAAATATCCGTACTGCAAACAGGACGAAAAGGTAAGTCTCCATATTGTTTTATTTGAGGGAATTTGTTCTTTAAAGCTTGTTTTCTCTTGATCAGTTATTTTTGAGACAGTGATTCAAACTGCCCTCAAGCTTGACCATTACATGATGGGCAGATTACAAACAATGATAACACGGGTACTTTAGCTTTCTCCACCACTTCCCCTAACAGAGACAACAAGACCCCCTGCACAGCGCACTTCTTAAAATCAGCCTGGATACAATGGAAGTGAAGGTGTCAGTGGACGGCATCCAACGTGTGGTCTGTGGAGTCACAGAGGAAACAACATGCCAAGAAGTGGTCGTGGCGTTGGCTCAAGCCCTGAGTGTGTATATTTGTGGCTATACAATTTATGTTCCGACATGCTAAGTGAGCTGTTAACAACACTCATCTGTCTCTGCAGGTCAGCCCGGACGCTACACGTTAAGGGAAAAATTCAAAGACTTCGAGAGGTGCATGACCCCCAACGAACGGCTTCTGGAGACTCTTGAGAAGTACGGAGAACAGGCCAGGGAGGTCCAGCTCACCCTGGTCCACAATGGACCCTGTGTCTGGAATGAAATGAGCAGAACAAGGATTGGTAGATACCAACCTTGTCCGCCCCTGAGAAGGAAGGATGCAGGGGGTAGAATGCGGCGAGGCAGCGGTTCACTGAGTTTGCATCGCCAGAGCTTGCCGCCGTTGCCTTGCTCAAGGCAAGAAGCTGAGCCACCGAAAGAGGACCTGAAGAGGCCTAAAAGAAAGTCTCTGACGCTCATGGAGGAGGCCTGGGAATGGTTGGAGAATCTGGGGAAAGGCAAGGTCTACAGTACTGCCTGTGACAAGGACACTAAGAGAACCGATAAAAGGAACCATACTCTCGATTTGTCTCCCACTGCTGACAAAGATAGCTTGGGTCAAAGGAGTAGGACCAAAGTCAGAGGTCAGAAAAGTATCAAGTCTGACTTAGACAATCAAACATCCTGCTGCATGGGAAGTCAGACGAGAGGTAAAGAAAGCAAACGCTCTAAGAAGAGTAAAGAGGCAAAATCTGCTGATGACCTGTGCTGTTCAAACAATGTTTCAGCTGAAGATGAGAAAAATAGTCTCAAAGAAACTGTCATACGTCAGCTCGGTTGTTTGCAAGATCTGCAGGTCCAGATAGACCGCATAGACAAACAGATTTTTGAGCTTGAGGAGAGACAGAGGGCCAAAAGAGCTGAGCAGGACGCCCAGCGGAGAGTGGCTGAACAGGAGATGGAGCAAATCAAGTTTTGGGAAAATGAATTAAAGGCAGAGGAAGGTCATGGGAAAGACTTGCAGGGACAGTTTCTTGAGATGAGGGCGAAGGCTTTTGAGTGCAAGGCCAAGCTGGAGGAGTACAAGTGCAAAATGCAGGGGCTTGATTTCTTTGCCACTCAAAATGTTGTTGAAGAGGACTCATTGATGAGTTCAAGAGTCGGCGGTGGTGCTGCCACTGAGTTTTCCTCCAAGGACGCATATCAGCAACGATCTGATCCAGATGGGGATGTTTATGTTAACAGGAAGTTCCTGCCCAGAGAAGACTTCAACCCTCCTTGTGCTCTGGTTTCTCCCAACCAGATAAAAGAGCGGCGGCCCACAGGTCCCACAGAGCTCAGGGAGTGGTGGACACGCTGGTCTCAAGCCCAAAACACTCAATTACAGACTAAGAAGAAGGTGATTCACCGCTCTGAACTCACAATATATCTGGGTAGTACTAAGGTTTAGTAGCAAATAAACACTCAGATACTAAGCCAGTGAAATATGATGAATGCTTCATTATACGACAGTTTGTTTCATTCTTTACACAGATTCTTAAGTTGCACTATGCAACTTTTTTACCTTAAAATAGCAGTTCCAAAATATGTTTGATGGCACACTGACTCGGAATGAGGAGAATGGTGCTGCTTTCATTCAGACTCCCCACCCTGGACGTGCGTTCTTGGTTTATGTAACTTTGGTGAGTGAGTACGCTGAGAAGTGTGGAACTGACGCAATGTCATAAAGCTTAAATTCAGCCCTCCCGTGGTTTGTTCCCTTCAGTGAGCCCCCTCATAAAATGTCTCCGTGTCAGAAGTGAGACCATGTGGTCATAAGAGGGGAAAAAGGGCAGGGGATCAGCTGAGGTTGAAATCAAACACCCGTCACAATAGGAAGTGCATTTTAAAAACCACAACATAATATAATTTTACTTTTCACAAATATAAATGTGACATTTATTGGATTCTTCATGATTGCTGTGTAGTCAACCTTGAAGTAAATGATGGAATTATTTCTACTGTACATGTTATTGGGCAGTGACACCCTTGCCTCAAAGCTGTTTCACTTGTTCTGGCAAATAAACAAAGAAAATGATATAATAAAAATATGAATGTCTCATTGTGCGACAGATTCTATTCCATGCTTTGTGTCGAAAGGCTTCATTTCTTTACTTAAAGCAACTTTGCAGCTTTAAAATTTGTTTCAAGTTTGAGTCTCAGTAATTTCATAATTTACATCTTACAATGTCCTCTTTGAAGTAAAACCTTTCAGATACGACTATGACATTTTGATAATAAAATAGTCCATTACTAGAATGAAGTCGTAATTTAGGCTGTGTGTCATTTAAAGAGAAAATCAGCCTGTTGCCTGAGTTAAAATGAGGAATGTCGAGCACCTTATGTTACACTTTTGGAATAATTAACAAAATGGGATATTTTAGCTAGCCAGTACTGCATTATCATAATTATCAAACGGTCAAACAAAGAACTAAACAGACTTGGAGGAAATGCCTGGTAGTTGTTGTGTACATCACTGTGACACCTGCCTGATTTACAGGTTTCATAGTTGTAAAACAATATTACTACAAGATTTTGGATCGAGAAAGGATCAAACTTTCGTGAGCACGACTCCTCCTTGCTTCTTCTTTCTTATATTAAAAAAAATTATATTACACATTACAATTTAATTTTCAATAAAAACTTAAATCTCAAAATTATTCAACAAGGCCCCTATACTTTGATGTAAGCTACAGATGATGCATTTCACCATTTCATCTGCCTGTACTAGACTTTCATAATGCGAGACTGTAAATATGCTTGAAGTCAATGCTGTCTTAGGAGGATAACTGTTTAGCATAACTGTTGTTTTTACTTCCTGCTTTATTTTCTGTGAGATCTGTTAAAGCAGACCAGAAGCCTCTCTGAAATAAAAGAAATACAAAACAACTCATGATTTTCATAAAACTTTAATTCAATTGTTTCATTCAAGACCATTAACAAAAGTACATGAGAACCTCTGAATGTGGTTCAACGGAACCCTGGTGATTTCTGAAGTTGAAAGTAATTTTGACTGCAACTTAAATGTGCAGAGGCACAACAGTTCACCCAACACTTCTCCAGAGCGCTATAACTGATATCCTGAATTTAATGCTTTTTTTTTTTAACTGGATTTTCTAATACTTTACCTTTCTTATTATTTAAGTTAAATTTGTTTCATAATATCTGAAGTTTGAACTTCCACTAAGAAAAAAAAAAGCACACATTACATACAGTATAGTTCAACCCACAGGTTTGGGATGCATATCAGTATTATTTCTACTAGAAAAGATAGCCACCCTAAGATTGTTCTGAATATTTTGGCGGTTGGCTGGGAACAGGATACTTCTTTTTTGTTTGTTTTTTTAAGTTTTTGTTTTTTTGTCACTTTGCTTGTAGTTTTTAGGCACCTTATTCTTACTTAATTCAATATTAGCAGATTGAGTTTTAATGAAAAAAAAGCAAAAATATGTGCAAGAAAAAAAAAAGAAAAAGAAAAACATAGTATAAAAGAACTGCAGATATAAGATGCCACAAGGAATTCTGCACCTGGGAAAATTTGCTTAAGTGGAGCATGTGAATACCAAAAAGGTATCTAAAGACTCCAGATTGCTAAAGTAAAACCCATTAGAGGAACTACTTTGACATTCACATACATCACAAACCATGCTTTCACTTCAGCTCTTCAATAAAGCATTTTAAAACTGCTCAAAAAAAACGAGCAGTGAAGAATCCTCAGTTTAAGCTCGCACACATGAGAAATATGATCCTCCTTATGGAGGGAACTTTGCTTTTTATATGTTTTTTAGGAAAGCATACAGAAAGTGGAAACTTGACAAATGCAACCATTTGAAGTTTCCATGGGTAAAGGAGCAAAAATGAGAAAAAGAAAGAGGAGCAGAAGCTCAAAGACATGCCGACAGACGCACCCATTCACCCAGGCAGACTACAGGACAGAGGACAGGTGCAGAATTCCAGACAAAGCAGATTCAAAAGAGAGGGACACAGACAGCCACACAGTCATCACTCTGATTTTAGAGGGGCAAGGCCCTCAGAAACAAATACCTCCATTACACACTAATCACTTCTAGGATACGGGGCGCACGCACACACACACACACACACACACACACTCAGAGATCCCATGTACACTGCAGTGTGGACTCCATATCAAGTACATCATACATGGGAGGCAGGGAACCACGGAATGAGAAAGGTTCCCTCGCAGGTATCGATGGGACAAAGATTACACATGCCGATTACTGTATGCGTGTTCATGTTTTGTGTATTAGTTTGTGTGTACAAGCATGTGTCAAATCAAATTCCCTTAACTCCTGCTGTTGCCACATCCCACCAACACTGAATGGGAGGGGGGTTAGGCTCTGTATTGCTCAGTCGATGACGCCAGGCTGTCGGGTCTTACGCTCCACATTGAAGCCCTGTACAAGAGGACACACTTTGTTAATCTTGATACCAATATATTACGAAATTCAAGTCATCCAGTAATTGAAGACTTAAGGAAGGAAAATATAAAACCTGATGTTATTCTTATCATTGATTATTGCAAGAGAAACATCCACAAAAGGAAAAACAGCTAAGCACCAACCTCATTGGCTAAATATTGGTTCTTGTAGCACACAATGCGAGAAATTGAAAAATAAGCCTCTGTTATCATAACTAACTTTGTTCAGTGCAGTTAAAAGATTACATTGTTCCAAGTCTGGTTGGAATAGACCATTGTGACCAATGGTGAAGGTCAATGAGCAGGATCAGATACGGATCATGAATTTTAACGTTAATGGTATGAAGAAACATGAAGCATGTCTTTCTTCATACACAACATATAATCCAGTTAATGTTCTTGTTTTAGCAGTTGTCTTTCATCAAATAAAAACTAGAAGTCAATTAGAAGTCCGGCGGCTGGACCAGAGGAAACTGCATGAACAAATGTCAATTTGACTTATAACAACTCTATTTGCAATGTATAACTAAACTTTAAAAAAAACTTTAATTATACAATGAAATAGCAGGAACAGTGGCTACTTTCAGAGTTCAGTAAAAACTTGCAGTAGCAGTGCAGTAGGCTCGGCCGTACCTTTGAATTGTCAGGACCGCGGGGCTGTCTAACGATGACCAGACGAGGAGCACTGGCATCATCAAGGGTGATGCTCTTCAATCGGTTCACCAGACGGTCAGGGCGAGGAGTTGCCACTGGTTTAGGCCCCTCGCTGCAATGTTAGGGGCATGATATGAATTCAAGATTAACATTGAGACCATATATTTTCAGATTGAAAACATCAAATATCCTGTACGCAGCCGGCCGGAGTGCCTACCTGACTCTGCGAACATTGCAGGCACTACATTTTCCTGTGCGTTGATTAAGGACGACCGAGAACTCCACTTCATCCCCAGTTTGGAGCTCCAGGCCATCTTGCACTTCTTTTACGTGGAAGAACAGTTTCTTGCTCTCACCGACCTCATATGTGATGAAGCCAAACTGGGGACAACAAAAAGAAACATTAAAATCAGTAGCCCTTCACTTAAGTATAACCTGTTGATTTCTAAGGCATGTAATTACAAAATAATGTAAATAATGAACCGGGGAATGAATTATTGATCACTACCTGGTCTTTGACACACTCCACCAAGGCTCTACGCTGAGGGACAACATTACAGGCCATCTTCTGTCCAGTCTGGGATACTGTGCAAACCTGGAACTTCACGAGTTCTCCTTTCTGCAGACAATCTGCCTTGCTGGCCATACCCATGATTCCAAAGGGATAATTTTGACCTTTTGTTCCACCTGAGACAACAAAGAAGTGGGTGATATTTTAATTTCCATGCAAGACAAACTGCATTAAATGCTGGTTCTGCAAGTCCCATCACAATTTGTCACCAACCTTCCTCTGTGATTTCAATAAGCCCTTGGTATTCTGTTTGGGAGGGGTCTACACTGCGTAAAGGACGGATGACTTTCCCCATCATCAATGTCACACTTACATCCTCTCCAATGCCATTCACTAGAAGAGGAAAAAGAGAATTTCACAATTAAATTGTAGTTCCTTTACCAGCCACGTTAACAAATCTTACAAGTGAATCGTTTAAAGAAATCAGCTAAACCTCTTCATACCTGCAGCCACTTTTGTAACCTTTTCAGCACTGACTTTGTTTCCTTTTCCTTTAGAGAGTGTGTACTCCACTGTGTCACCAAGCTCCAAACTGTCCAGATCTCCACACATTTCACTGAGGAAAATACACGGATATAAATAAAACCAGAGTTTAAAGTCAGAGACATTTAGATCTAACTCAAAAGAAATCTGCAAAGAAAAAAAATAAAATAACAGAATTTAGAATTTAAAACTCTACCTGTAGTGAAAGAAAATCTCTTGGTCATGATTTGCTGTCTCAATGAAGCCAAAGTTGTCCTTCAGT